ACGCCAGGCTCTTAACACATGCCATGTACAAAATAGCCTGTGTTTTGCGGGACACATGACTTCTCTCCATGCCGTGTAAAAAGTTTCATCCATGTCCGACATAAAAGCATTTGTGTCAATTTGCCCCACTTCAGATTTTATTTCGTTGAAAAACAATTTCATCACTTCTTTATCGCTTTTGTTTGTAAACATGAACGCTACTGGGAAACCTTCCCTGGTTTCATCCAAAGTTAGAAGGGTAAACAATTGAAAGTCATAATTATTGAGCCCATGAGTGCCATCAATACAAACAGTGTGCTGGCCAAATTTTTTTAGCATTGCATGTTGGGTTTTTGTCATGAATATTAAAAGAAAATCATCTTTTGAGAGATATGGGAAGTCTTCGCTTTCTTCACCCTGAGCTTTATATTTAATTCTTGAAATATAACTTGAGTTGGTCAGTTCTTGGACCCAAGCTGCAATGCTAACAGGATCAAAAGGGTGTTTTATAGAATCTGAATGCAGATTGAAGCTGCTTTCTATGTTTATGATATCTTTTTTGTTTGTTAGATGAATTCTTTGTAGTTCAAAATCTGATATTGATCCTCTGATAGATTTTAAGATTTCTTCATGTGGTTTTTTGTTGGCTAATTGAAGGGCTATTGACCTTCTCTCTTCACGAGATAGTCTGATGTGTCTCAGCTCATTCCTATGTCCAAAATGTGATGAGACATGGTGTACGAGGACTTCATTTTTCTTGATTCTGACAGTCAAATTTGATGGACAGTATCCATTTATTTTGCACGATCCTGACAATTTGATGTGTCGTTTTGTATGACCTCGTGATCTGTGGTAGCCACATCTGTGGCACTGGTAATAGGCTACAGTTTCATTAGAAAAACGTTTCACATATGATGCCGTGGAAGCCTTTTCTAGGTCAATTTTCCAAATATTGAACTCTTCAATAGAGTTAAACTTATGTCTTCTAGTTCGAATCGGGACATTGTGAATTTTTTCAAAATGCTCGTGGATCTCTTTTTTTGATTTCTGTGTGGAAATGTAAGGACATGCAGGGCATTTTCTTTTAATATAAAAAAATGGTATGTCATTACTGTGGAACTTTCTTTTATGATAATTAAGATTTTTCTTGTGAGAAAAGCTGGCTGTACATTCTTGACATTCATACTTCCGTGACGTTGTAGGTTGGATCAACTGGTTTTCGTGTTTTCTTGAAAAGTGGCGCTTTAAATTGATTTGATAAGCAGTTTGAAAAGTGCATGAGGAGCATTTGAATTTCTTTTGTCGTTTGACCTCAGAGAGCAAATGTACACTGTTTATATGATGATCTAAATTTCTTTTCTCAACATAGCTTTTGTCACAGATTGCACAAACAAATCTTTTTTCTTTCAAATCCTGTAAAAGGTCCCCGGCCGAGTTCCTTTTATGTACAGTTTTTAAGTGTCTTTGCCAGTTATATTTGGTCTTAAATTCTTTATCGCAGAACTGACATTTAAAAGTGGATGTTGCTGCGCTCATCTGAAACAAATTTCATAAAATTATTGCATTTATAATTATATAATATGAGGTAAAGGAATATTTTATTGAACATCGGAGTTAGTAAATTATGTCTTTCACGCTATGACTTGAGATGTATATTTTTAGTCAAACTTCATGTTTTTAGCCCCTGGAATGTTATATTAGACAATAGGCCTAGTAGGTTTTTACGTACCTCCGTCAAATAGTCCAATGATAAAGATTGCTTGGATTGCAGTAGCTTACATGTTTTGTTGCAAACAGAGACGTAGCAAGGTATTGTTTGCAGAGGCCCCTGCTGAGGGCGCAGGAAGCATATTGGTGCAAAATTGGCTTTTAAATAATTGTAAGAATTATTAAAAATATTTCTTTTTAATACATAGTGATAATCTAATTGTGGTGGCCAATTACTAGAATTGAAAAAGATCAAATACATTTTCTGGCATTTCAACGTTCATACTTAATCAAGTAGAGTAATTATGGAAGATAGTGAAGCGCTTTTAAATGTTGTACTTCAAACTGCCACACTACTTCAGTGTGAACTGTAAGGCGGGAAATTTTATGGGGGTACGGCCAACATTACATACGGCAGCGCAATGACAAATCATCGACTGTCAATGTACAAGGCCATTTTGGTATGAGCTTTAGTACGAGCTTCCGTTATTAAGTGATTAAAAAAAACTAAAAAGGACGAATGCACAAACATTGCGCTACCGGTATCATCATACTGATTTAGTCACGCCATAACATGAGCCTAATGTTTAATGTTTTCTACACAAGGTTCAATTAATATTTCAGTTTGATAAAGCCACTACTGTATTTGTTAATATATTAGCCTAGAAAATGAATCAACCTATTGATTCATTATTGATATCTCTTCATATTAGGTTTACGGTTATAACCTTAACTGTAATGCAATGCTTCAGGCCTAACCTAACCTAACTAAAAGTCATGTAAGTCTGTTATTTAAATGTTAAATTTCCATTCGTGTAACTACAGAATATGCATATTAAGTGAGTTTTCATTTTACCTACTTAGAAGTGGTCGGTATGAATCTTAAGGTACAGTACTTCTGTATTGTACGAAGGCTACCCTTATACAGCGCTCTGTGGCGGTTATGTTATGTTGGTGTAACTTATAATTTTTGTTAGGCCTACTCATCTGGTATTGTTCGATTACATAACAAAACGAGGAAAGTCCTATAGACATATGATAAGTTAACCCAACCTAACAAAACCGCCACATTGCACTGTGAAATAATTGGCCTCCGTATAATACAAAAGCACCATTCCTAAGTTTACCAATAACTCATAATCTAAAAAATTAATTACAGTAGGGACAGTCGGCTAACAACATTTAATTAGGTTTCCCTTAGTTAGGCAGACATTAAAGTGTCTACTGATTAATTTTTGACATAGGCTAACAATTGTTATAACTAGGCTCCAATGACATTTAAAACGTGACAGTTTCTTAACTGGGCTACACTAATATCGAATGAAACTAATGATTTGATTAGTAAACCTTCATTAAATTTTTTTCATCACCGGGTAGGCCTAAGTTATCAGCAAGTTTAGGTTAGGTTATATGACAGTTTAATTTTATAATTCATAACTTAGGCCTTGTTAAAAATAATGATTAAGTTACTAAACGATAGTTTCCAAATCAATATTAGCATAGCCCAGTTAAGAAATTGTATCTTACTCCTAACGCTCATCATGTACGGTACTGTAGGCCTATACGATTACAACATCATAGACTTATGACAAAGAAGACCAAATGACAAAAAATACAGTTTATCTTCTGCTAAGTTATAGAAACGTGATAGAAGGATAAAAACATAAACCTAATCTTCAGCAACAGAGGATCAGTAAAGTTATGAGACTCGTAGGCCTACACTTATCCCTTGTTAGGCCTATTTAAGGCCAAATAGGCCTAAGTTATCTATATTTAAGTATTTAAATTTTACAAATTATCTCAGACTCTAGAATTCATGTTAATAACTTAGTGAAATGCTAACGTTTAAGTTAGAAGGCTCTTGTCAAAGTTTTCAACTTAAGTTATAAAAGCTGATAGGCCTACAATCTTTGGCTCTGATAAAATGTAAGATAAAGTTTTAAGTTATGAATTTAATTTAGTAACAATAAATCTAGGCTAGTCAATAATAGGCTGCACTTTAGTTTACGTCCTACATAAGTTACTCACATACTGCAGTTTGGTTGGTTAGAAGTTAAAAGGTCCAACTGGAAGCAATAAACTTAACATAATGAAAACATAGAGGATACGCGTCCGGTAACCGGACGTGGATAAGGCGTCCGGCAATGACGTCATGGGGTTGCGGTAGCCTGGAACGCCTTTACCACAACAATACAATGATCAGCCATCGGTGGTCGTGGTGTAGTGGATATGGTGCTCGGCTGATATGCAAGAGGTCCAGGGTTCAAATCCCATTAGTGACTTTAACTATTTGTCGAAGATTTTGCATTGAATACCATTTCTTCTTAACTGTACATCTTTTATTAGAATTTTTGGCATTTATAATTTTTTTTATAGAGAAAGAATTTAACCTTAATTCGATTTTTTCATTATCAGCAAGTTTGGTTGGTTAGGTTAGGTTATGACAGTAATTGCCGGACGTCTAATCCACGTCGGGTTACCGGACGTGTATGCTCTGCCTAATGAAAAACCCGGTTGCTTTAACTTACCTTGGCATTGGAAAATCCATCTAACATCAGTTTCAGTTATAATTTGAATGATATTGATAAAATAGTAAAATTACAAAAATAAACCACTTTTGCTTGAGTCATTTCGTCATTTATTTGTGAGTTTTATTTATTAACAGTAACATCTAGGCTGGTCAATATTATTATATTCCAGGACAAACGGTAACGGTGAAAATTCTGAAACAAAATACAGAATACAGAATGATATGCAACATTTACCTAAACTAACTGTGCATTTGGTTTCTTTATTATTGGTGTTCTAATCATTAGTTTAGGAATCTTTTACATAAACAACCTCGGTGGTAGATAAGTTACAAGTTTAAAAATCCAGCTGCAAAGCAATAAACTAGAATTCAATGAAAAATCTGTTGCGTTAACTCACCTTGGCGTTGGAAAATCCATTTGACGGATCTGACATCAGTTTTAGTTAGAATTTGAATGATGATATTGATAAAAGGACAATACAATTACAAAAGTAAACCACTCTTTAGGTCCGTTCTTTTCTTTATGCGCAGTTAACTTATTAGGTAAAGCAGGAGCAGACGACAGACGAACTTGAAGCGCTACCAGTGGTGAAAGCTTGAAGTAAGCGATGACGTCACCGTTCGAGCTACCCACGGTAAATGCTTGCACTAAGTAATGGCGTCATCGTTTCCTCACCGCTCCCCACCACGTCTGTTGCTCCGGTGAGCCGACTCGTTGCTCTGAGTATCTAGACGCTAGTGCTCAGCTCAAGTGTCATTCATTCATTCTGTCTCCTGTCATTATTATGTTTTTGTTTTTATGTTAGTTCCAATCCAAACTGTGTTTGTTGGGTCAAAAGGTTATGTCGTGTGCATTTTTTATTTGTTTTGCCATTTTATGCTGCTTATCACCTACACTTTCCTTGAAAAATAAGGATAAACCGTGCCATCAATATGACCCATGTAAATGCATTTTCCCTACTGGAAGAGGCATAAATTTGGCTCTAATCAACAAGACTTTGAGGTTAGATCTTTTATATTACATAATCAGTTTACAGCCTGTTTTCAATAATATTTCAATATTTACTCTAATTTCTTATATTTCATAAGCCTAATTGGTTTTTGTTGCAGTGTTGAAACAGAAACCAATGTCAGTATCTCAATTCATTTTTGTGGGGATGTCTCCTTTGGGAATAACAACGCCAGTCAGTGTTTCAACAATGTCTCGGTAAGTTAGTTATTTATAATTGACGATAAATTCAAATGACCTTATTCAATTGACAGAAAATTCATTTCAATATTCCTTTACAGTCCATATCAGTCATCGTTTTGAATTAGCATTGTAATGTACCGTATATGTTATTTTCAACTTCTCTTGTTAGACATCTAAGTTTGCTTTCAATTGAAAATTGGTGTTACAACGTTGAAATATAAATAAATAAATTAATTAACTAAGATTGTTATAGGCTCGGCAGTTTAAAGATTTTTTTAATAGTTTTTTATCGTTTTAGACAAAAGTTTGTATTCCACAAGATGTCAGTGAAAATCATAGTGTTACCGTACGGTACTAATCATACTTTTTGTGTCAACTATATTCTATATTCCTCTTAAAAACTTTCATGATATTGTTCAAGCTTGAAACTAAGTTAATGATGTTTTTAATTTGATTTTGACTAAGTAATAATTTTAAGGCTTAACATCATTACTATTATCTAACTTGAATGTCAAGACTCAGTACAATTATGTTTTGTACCTCCTCAGATTTGCTACATGGACAATAACCACAATCAGAGCTTCAGTTTTGGGAAATCTGCAGACTTGAAATTTGTGTCAGAAAGTCAATTTGAGCCTATCCACATACAGTTTAGTAACTCGTCAAAGTAAGTAAAATACAGTGTATAAATCTCATAGGCCTAATAAATAGAGTGATAAATTTAAGTCATGGAAGGAGTAGTTTTAATTTATTTATCTTATTGATTTACCTGGTCAATGGCTAAGCTTTGGTCATCCAATGTCTTAAGGGTCATTTTTAGGCCTACATAGCCTGTTGTCATCACACACCACACGGCAGTGCCAACTAAAGTCGGCATGTGAAGTGTGATCGTGTTACCAATGCTACCATTGTCTGATTTTCTATAGAGAATAATTTTTACAAAGAATAAAGAATTGTCTGTGTTGACTTTCTTTAATTATAAATTTATACTCTAGAATAAAGACCATTGTTAGCATTTATGAGGCCACTAGGAAATGTGGTAACCATTACAACTTGCCTTTTATCGATACTGAGTGTGAATGGTATAATTTTTTTTTGCTGGTACTGTGTATGTTTTATAACATTCCACATGTCTCAAGAATCGTTTGATTTATAATCACTTTGTTGCAGCACAACAAGAATCGCTTTGACTTGTGTTAAAGAATTGGACAATCCTCTTCTTATTTTCAAGTCAAAGTCTAAAGATGGCTCCTATGTAAGTGTGTATTTCAATAGTCATTTATCAATAAATACCCCCGCCGCAGCAAACCTGCCGTCTAAGCGAATTTCCATTTGGCTGAATTGATTTTCAATTGATCTATTTAAATAACATTAGGTTTAACGAGTACCTAGGTTTGCTGCTACAAGGAAACTAATAAAGTGTGTGTTTTAAGTAAAATAATTATTGCTTAGTATAAAATGAATATATTTGCCAAGTTTGATCAAAAGATATCCATAAACAAGCAAACTACAACATTTTACAATATTCTCCATAAGAATAACATGGGAGTTTTAAATTTAAAATTTTTTTAGTTTTCTCCGTAACCAATAACCGTACAAAAACACTTTGATATACTGAATTGTTTGTTTTTTTAAGCTCTTTAAGAAAGTTAAGAGAAAAATTGGAAAATTTTGTGTTTTGAGGGTCAAAAGTGAGAAAAACCAATTTTTACCCCATAAAACCCCCCATAAAATCCTGTTCCCATGGTCCGATCATGCTGGATCGCGAACTCATTCAAGTTTATCCCGCCTTACACCTTCAAATCAAATTTCATCAAAATCGGATAAAAATTACTCAAGTTATCGTGTTCACGGACACATATATATATAAATCTATATATATATACATATATAAAAATTTGAACGAATGGTGTTTTTGGCCTCTGGGGACATCAAAATGAAAAAGTAAATAGGTCCCGGGCCTAAGTCTTACCATGAGACCTACGGTAATAGCTACTTCCCTATAGGGAAATTCACTAAAATGTACCTATTTAAAGTTAATTTTGATTTTTATGAGGTGGTGGTGTAGTTTTGGCTTTCTAATTATTCTCGGGCCTTTATCCTATTTTTCTAAACAGAAACCCTTCTTTATGGAAAATGCTATCAGTGGGAAAGAAACATTATAATTACTCTGCACGGTTCAGGGTTTTGTGTTTTACAAGCCAGTTCAGACACTTACCCAATCAGGCAACCCTGTTTTATCTCAGTAATTTTAAATTCTGTCCTCAATAATAAGTTTACTGTTAGAAATCTGCGAGTCGTTGAAAATTTCAATGGTGTGGACCACACCAAAATCTGAATTGTTATTAGTTTGGTAAGTTAAAAATAGCTACTGTAGTGTTTCTGATACTGCCTTTTGAAATAAGTGGCTTATGGACGCGTCATACTATACATGGAACGTTAATTGGTGTCATTGACCTTGGATGACGAAGTAGACATCCTATAGGTATATGATACGGACCCGTAGTAAGTTGTAACCAATATTTTATTGAACAATGATCATAATTGATTGAGCCTCTCATATTGTGCCACTGTGGCAATTCTATTTTTCCCCTTATTAATTATTGATACTTTGTCGATAGTTGGATGCAACTTAAATCGTGCTATAGTTTACAGTAAACTGTTCTTCCATTTTGGCTACGTTAAAAAGTTTTTGTATCCTTCAACAGAAACCAATAACAATTCACATCAGTCCACTGTAGGTAGCCTCAACAAAATCAATTTTTTTTATCTGAAACTTGCTACAGCTTTAACAGAAAAATAAAAGAGCAAAATGAACAAACATTTTTTTAATTAATCAGCTTTTTATAAGTGTTAAATTTCTAAAGAAAAATGTCTTGTCCCACTGTAAAGAAATGCGACCTTGTACAGTTGAGTTGTATAGTTATGTTTATATATTTTGGTAATTTGTGCCCATTGACACTACTGTATCCAATGTAGGTTACTTAAATAAGGTGAATAAATTAAATTTAATTTAATTTAATTTAAATCCTGACCGCATTGTCGAGGCAGGATCTGGAGCTGCAGTCCGCACACTCGTGTGTCCGACTGCTGTCCACTGAGGAGGGCCCCAGTGGAGGCCTCAGCATGGGCTCAGTGCTGGTCATCATGCTGCTGGTGTTCACGCTTGTCTACTTCGGCGGAGGCATGCTGACATTACGCATACTCCGTGGCGCCGAGGGCAAGGAGATGATACCAAACATTGACTTCTGGACAGATCTGCCGTATCTAGTCAGGGTGAGTACAACCTTTGTTTTTAGGATATTGTAGACATCCCACTCCCATGTTAAGCTGAAGCCAGTTTCGGACGTAGTTGGACTGAGCCACAGACGGATTGTAATGACGTCAATTATTGATTTCTGGATTATACGGCCTACACCGATTTTTAAAAATTTAGTTAACTTTTAATTATAAAATTAAACTCAACTGTGTCTGTAAGGTAAGAAAAGTCAAATTGTTTTGCTTATTGTGTACTCTTTGTGAAAAGTAAAATATCTTAATTCTTCAAGAAATTCTATTTGGATATACAACTCTATTAGTGTCAAGTAAGATGTTAAGGGTGTAGCATAGAGCAGAAAGGCTTAGGTTTTTAGGATTTTTTGAGAGGATAGCAGGCTTACCTGAATGGGAAAGAGTCCAAACTGGCACAGGAAACCCAAAACTTTCCATAGGCTATACACAAAACATTAGAATATTTCACTGTCACTGACAGCATTTTCAACTAAGGAAGAGACTGAAGAGATAGTGACAAGTAAGTTTTTTTTTTAATTTATTATTTACAGTAGATTTTTTTCCTCTCAAGAAATTCATCCAAGGTGTAAAGGTTGTTTCATCAGCCATATCTTCAACTCCACCTTGAGGTTGTTCCCAATGAGGTATCTTATGGATGTCTTTTATACTCTAGTCCAGATATGTAATGTATACCAGATTAGCATTAAGTCATTGACCATTGGATACTGAATTGTCAATCAGTATCAATAGTCAGAGGTTAAATATCTTTAATACCAAGAATTTTATTTATACACGAAATAAATCTTTTCATCTATGTTTTTCAGGATGGTGTACTCTTCACTCTAAATGGATTCCGTCCACAAACGTCTTATGATAGAATTTAAAAATTGTGGTTTCATGTGCCAAAGTTGCCTGTTGTATTTTATGTGATATTTTATACCTATGAAAATATTGTTTTATTTTAGTCATATATTATTGTAGTATGTTGTTCACATTCACACTAAGTTAAAGATGAAAACAGGGGAGATATTCCAATGACAATAGAAGTATAAAATGATTGTAAATATATTTATGTCATTTTGATTAGCTCTTTTATGTTATTACTTTTACTAGCATTGGTTGTATTTTTGTAGCAAAGTTTTGCCATGAGTATACTCTTCACCTTTGTTTAGAATTGCATAAAAAACTAACATAGGATGATAAACCTAAAAATTGAACTATATTTGTCTTCCTAACTTAAATGTAAAGTGATAAATTTGTGCCATTAGTCTCGTATGAGCACTAAGATGGTAATCTAAATTTTACATATCAACAAAAAATATCACCGCTTGATTAGCAGTAGAGGTAGAAGCCGTGATTCTTCCTTGTAGTCTCAATTCAAAATAGATGTTGTTAGTTAATTTTTATAAATGTATATTTGTACAAGTCATTAGGCATTTAGGCACTATTCTCGACTGGTGTATTAGTAGGTTTAATGTTGCATTGCATTGTGTTCACCTTCCAAAAATTGGGTGTGGCTTATTTTGTGGTTGGAATGCTGACTTCTGTTCTAAAGACAGTTTTGAACCCCGCAAATCACCAATTGATTTTAGCCAGTGCTGGCTTTACCACTTAGTCAAAGCATGTTGCAGCTTATTGTACAAAAACTTTTTTCATATTTATAATTTGTTGTGATGTTCCCGGGATTGTTAGAGATGTTCACCGTGTTCACAGGAAAGTTCCACCAATAAGGTGGGGCGTGCTTGAGTTGACTTGGCCTAGGGCCGCAAGTACCATAAATCTGGCACTGCGTTTAGCCATCTAATGTCATTAATTGGTGGTCCGGAGCCCATCTTAAAGCCGTAGGTCCGCGTGGTAAGTAAAAAAGAACGGATTACTTATGCTGGAACAGATTCTGTATCCCCACAAAACACCATGCAATCGTTATTTAATCTTCCAATATGTCAAGAAGGGTAGCCATAGCACTCAAACTAATCTGCTGGAATATTTTATTAAAATATAAATATGTTTATTACATTTACATTATAAATTAGCTTTGGTTAGTACTGTCCGCGAGAGTAAAGAAGTCCCCTGAGCTCCGGCCTATTTGTAGTTTGAAGGCGTTACGCTTGAACGTTTCGCGGGACAGTTAGAGCCGTCTTCACTCTTCACGCGGTATGACGCGTTCATATAAGGTAACACACCATCGACGTCTACACTTTGCCAACATTTCTGGAATGTTAAATTATTGCCCATCCAAGTTTCGTCCAGATAGAAAATTTTCTTATTTTGTTCCCTTAGCTTCCTCGTCTCTCGCAAATAGCCTACTTAAACCTCCAATTAATAATGTCAGGCCTTTCAATCAAACATTTTCTTTTGGAATCGCATTTCTTCCACTTTAACCCCATATCTTTGAAAAGACGCCGAAGTTCCCATTCGTACCATTTAAAATTAATCCTTTCTCTCAAAACAGATAATAGTTTTTTTCGCTACACTACTGTGAAATAACCTGTTTTCGTTCCATGTTTATCAACTGCGAAAATCCATCATTACATTATTTACCACGGCAAAAGAATGTTAACTATCTTTTTTAGATTTTGCCGACGTAATCAAACAAATATTTGGTATTGCTTTATCAACTGTTTAAATTTTCTGAAAAGTAACGTTCAAAACACGAGTGAAAGTGGGTCTATAAATAATGATCAGCCTTCTTGCGTTTTTCCCGAGTGTACAGAGTTTTACATCCGGAGTTTGTTTGCAGGTTTTTCTAATTCGTTTAATAGTTTTTTATGACATTTTACAATAGTTTGCGGCAAGTTCTGTTGCCTTTTCTATCGGCACTGATCACTTTTTGTCTTTACATTCATTGTCACAACACTCAATCACCCGTCTAATTAAATCCCTCTCTCCACTATATATATAGTATCACCACATTTTGATAAATCCATAGCTGCAAGGACTGTCCAAAACAAAACAGAACTCCAATACGAAATCATACGAGACTGCACTGAATCAAATGACGTGACCACATGATGATAATCCACTTACCAAAACAAAGATATGAGTAATTATGTTTACAACAGTTGTTTACAGACAGACATCGAGGCGAGGCACTCAGATACTTAGCGCCTGAAAATAGTGCGCGATACCCTCCAAACATAGCTGCGTATCGCTCTGGCTCAAGGGACTTCTTTACTCTCGCGGACAGTAGTGAGGTACAGGTGATACAAGGGATGTCTGTAAATTAAGGTCTCCATCCAGCTCCCATCAACTGACAACGGATTTCAATAGGGGTTGCCCGTTTTTCCTCACAATCATTGAATGTGATAGTTTCATAGACGGTGGGAGCATCAATTTTTCCTCACATTAGTTTCGGCTACGTTAATGAGATTATAGTCTTATAGGAATGGGAATCGGCTTAAAAAGTAGTAAAAAGGTAAGGAATACAGTTCAAATTTTACATATATACTCTGTATGTAAAACAGTTTTCTTACTCGCTTGGCTGCTTGTTGGAGACTAATTTAGTGACAATCCCTTGTACTACCAAAGCATTAGAATTGCACCATTAAGGTTAACTAAAATGAGAATTCAGTATTCAGGTGTGTACTTTTTCTCAATTTGTACACAGATGTTTTGTTTAAAGATTTAATTATATAAAACATACTCCCCCAAGTAGATTTCTCATCCTTATGGAACAGCTGAAGACAATTTTATTGTTAGTTCTGTACGGTTTATGTAGAGGTCGTGTTTTGTTTACAATTTGTTTCCCGTTATTACAGTCATTTAAAACCTCGTTTAACCAAATAATACGATCTAATCATAAACAATAAATTGTCTCCTAGTTATATAACCAAACAGTAAAGCACAAATCAAAAAATTAACCCTAAAATAATAGAAACAAAATTTTGTTGACACTAGCGCCCAGTGTCACCGTACATGAACTGGACACAAAAAACGTGCGTCAAAATTTACAATGGGATGACAAGTCTACTTGTGTTGTTTAGTCTATGATTATGGTTATACAAATTGTCTAGATTCAAAATGTGTTTAGTAAAAGTGGAATAAATAACTTTTATAGCTTGATAAATAATGTCTTGTTTATTTTTATATGTTTAAATGTTTGTAAAATACATAACCACTGGTACTTAGTGTAGTATTATTCTGTAAAAATGTTATTAGTTAGAAATATTATTTTAAACTAGCTGTTAACCCGTTCTACGTACGGGTTGAATAAAATATCCAGTACAAACAATACAATAAGGAATCTTATTACGTCAAGTATAAATTCAAGCTTTTAAACAAATACTATATGGAAATAATGACAGTTAAACTATTAAACATAATAATAATATGACATTTAAAAAAATACAATAAAACATTTAAATGAGAAGTGGTTTAAATTATGGTATTAAGAAGAGAGCGTAAAATGCCATCTTGAGTGTTATAGACAGACAGACAGAAATTAAGATGACTCGCGTTTCTACTTTCTTATTGTATGAAATGAAAAAATAACCAAAACTGAAACATTTATGATTCTACGCAATGTACAGACAAAACTCTAATTTTATTTATATAGATACCTATATTATTTAGTACATAAAATGACAAGATGTTGTTAATGTTTTATTTTCATTTTTATTTAATGGTATGTGTGGAATTGTTTGGAATAAAAAAATTTTATGAAAAATCCATTAAGAATTTGTTTATTTACACATTCATTACAAAATTAAAGGTTGAAAACGTGCAACCATATTCCTTTAGAGAGTTTGTGAACTGTACTTAAACTACAACAAGTGACTAACATATTTTTTTTTTGTCACTGTGCAATTATAACTGGTTCCAGTATGAAAGAACAATCCGTGTTAGGACCTATATAATTTTCAAAGTCAACCATTACACATACATGATGAGCTTTTTTCTCAGCTCTGATTAACATCAATATTCCAAAGTTTTTGATACTTATTTGTTTTACAAAGCTTGTGAAATCTTTCAAGCAAGTTAATGTATTAAGCACTCGTTCAAAATTAATATCATGGAAGACCCGATTTTCCCCACACATCTCGTTAATAAATAATAATCCCCGCTTTTACCCGACAAGACGTTAATAATCCCTGCACTTCCACTGTGACTTCCAAAATATCCTAAAAAGTGGGTAAAACAAAACAAAAATACCCGCATCGCTTTCAAAATAGGCTACCCAAAAAAACAGGTAACGGGTGCAATAATTTAATATTAGGCCTTGGCAATAAATTCAAGGGAACTGGTTACACATCAAGTGTTTTGAATGAAAATCATGACACCACAGCTAATGCGGATGTTCTATAAAATAGCCTGACATAAAATATGTTAACATTTCAAAGTTATGTATTTTTTAAATCTTTTTTTGTAGTTGACGATAACCAACTCCTATACAGAATAAGCCACGACTAAAAATATACATTGCATTCATGCACCATAAAAGCTGTAAATAATTACTTAACATTAATGTAGGTAATATGATGACAAGTCACACATTAAAAGTGCTACGGTACCATGATTAATTAGTGGCACCATGTTTTTTTTTATTAGGCTATAATTTGTAATGGCTTACCATGAAAAAAGGGTTTCTTTTCTGGAAATTGGATTTTAAATATGCAAATAATAGGGTCTATCTATACATATTTACATTTAAATAAGGAATTAAAAATATAGATACAAGAGAGGCATTTTTAGAAGAGAACAAAAGTTAAATTTATCAATGGTCCAAATTTTATGAAAATTAAATAGAATCAAGGTAACCTACATAACATCACAAAATTAAATTGATTAAGTAATATTGATCAAAATACAGTATTATAATACTTATCTTATTATACAAAAAGTACCAGACTAAGCTTGCTTATCAAAAATATCCGCTCTTACTCGTTATTTTTTAATAACCAGGATGTCCTTTAAACTCCCGGCCTCTGGCCTCAAAATTACCCTAAAAACCGTGCGCCAGAGCGAAATTTTGGCAACACTGACAGTGACAATAATGGCATTAATCCTACATCCCAAAAGTATAAATAAATGTTTTGTAAAATATGTCTTTGGAATTTTTTGTAGGGGAACGGTCTAAACCCTGTTACTATCTATCAGTCACTTTTAAGTCAATAATAGTCTGCTGAAAAATTGCATCTGGGCCTGGAAACAAGCTCGCTCAGAATCGAACCAGAAAACCCCATTTGAAAGTGAACATTATAGATTTAAGATTTATTTACCTGGTCATTGGCACAGTCGCCGAAACTAACAAAAACAGAGATGAGATTCCTCTTGACTCACATATAAAAAGTCCAAAAGAGCACACCATGCAAAACTGAATAAATAAAACTGTATACATGCAATATGCAAAGGGTGAAATTGGGGGATACCACTCTTGGCTACTCAGTTTTTTTTTAGTTTTTTTTTATTGGTAGGTGGAATGCGTTACGCACTTCCCTATACGTTGAGCGCACCTCCTGGAGCGCCCGACGTGCCGGGGGAGTGTGGGACTCCTACGGGTGTCACCGTAGTTTACCCACTAAACCACCTACCCCCTCCCTGTCCTTGCTCCCGGGAGGGCGGTCGCAGCGTAGCAGGCTGGTGATGTGCTGCTTGAAGATCTTGCTGGGGTTGTCATCTCTAGAAGGGGTCTCTCAGGCGGGGCGGCGGGTGACGCGTCATTCTCCGCTGGTTCTGGGGGTTGGCTCCTTGAAGTACTCTCCTTCGTAGCTCAACCGAGGGTGGCCGCTCGTCAAAACAGACAATTTAGACATTTTAAGTAGACCTGATACGTACGTTATAAAGAGGTAGTACCACCAGTGCTGCCAATATGACGTTTTCAACCTATGCATTTTGTGTGGGGTCTTGATTTGTCCATATTTGTCGTAGCATGGTCTTGGTATATCTGCCACTAGGGCCACTACTATGCAATCATAGTTTGTTTGTGGATGAAGACGGAAGGCTTGTTGCGTTGTAGTATAGATAAACTATAATGTTTTATCTATGGTTAATGGTTTTGTCCATTGGTGTTTTAGGACCTTGTCAAGGGGGGACAACCAGGGGGCTTGGGGGGGTGTAGCACCCCCAAATAAAGAAGAGCTTAATTAATATTGATCCAAATACAGTATTATAATACTTATCTAATATTAAGCCTTTTTAAGGTATACTTTGCTAATATTAAGAAGAGCGGGGGCGGGCCCTCCCCCGGGAAAATTTTGTATTTTCAAAGCCGTTTGGTGATTTTCTAAAGCAATTTTTTACGTCTCGAACTGTGTCCAAAAAACCTCCCTTTCCCCTTTGTTTTGTCATGCACAAGCAGCTCCCCCCCCTTGGAACCACCACTGGACTGTAGCTCTCTTCCAGGCCTTTCATGTTATTGCTCTTGTTTAGAGAGAGTTAGTTATTATAGACCAACTATATTCCTAGGAAAATTATCTCAATG